AAAATATTGGTATATAACTAGGTGTTCTGATCTTCGAACAACATGATTCATGAGCAACACCTATAAAACTACCAGTGTACCAATCAAAATCATAAAAATGTTTTGCCAACTCAGTTTCACAAATATGACAAATGGTTGCATTTGAAATTTGGTTTTTGTCTTCATTTGTTAGCGGTAGTGGTGGATATTTTTGAAGTCTATTTATTTCTTTTAGATTGTTAGATAAACTTTCCATAAACACTTGTGCACAGTTGGGTCCGCAATATGTTACATATTTTGATAATTTATCATCATATGAACATTTTATATAATATCCAAAACTATGTACTTCATGTTTCTGAATATTATGAGTGAAAGGTTTGGAAGGATCGTTAGAACATGATTCTATTGGTTTTAAAAATGCTTCAAAATCAGCATAAACTACGAATGGTATCTTTAACTTTTTTTCATAACTATCAAATTTAATTTTATCATTTGAAATAGGTTGACCAAACCAATTCTTTTTTTTTAAAGTTTCACTGTTTGGTAATACTGTACAAATGTGAGCACAATCGTATTGTTCATGGTTATTTAACCTTTCCTGAGATGGAAAACGAAGTAGACATGCTTCACAAATGTACATGATGTGACCGTCTTTTGAAATTTGTTTCCTAACTAACCGCGATAAATTTTTTATATAGCAATAATGATTTTTTGTATCCTTGGAAAAAAATAATAAATTGATATGTCTATCTTTACGACACTTTGTTAAAAATAATGGACCTACTATAGAATTACATCGTTTTTCTTTATTATATTCTAACCCAAAAACATTAATACTAATATCATTTAATTTCTCTACTTTTGCTATGTCAGAAATTTTAACCGGAAAGGAAATACCATCAAATTTAAGTTTATTTGCATGTTTAACGTACGATGATACCCGATCGGTGTGTTTGTTTACAGGATATAACGCCGAGAGTAACGCCCATTTAAAACAAAAATAATCCTTGTTTTTTACATTTATAACAGCCTTTTTTAATTTTATGTCACGAGGAAGATCTATGTATGAAGTACCGCGTAGGGGGTTAAATTTATTAACATTCATGTCTATAGATTTTATGTTTTTTAGACTCCATCCACTATCTTTTTTTTCGAAAGCACTAATTTTAGTAGTAATTGTATCATTTAAAGATGAAAGAAAAATATTTAAGTCATCTCCTTGACAAATAATATAGTTAAGCGTTTGAAAATCGAACGTATCATGAATATCTTTAGTTTGTTGAACAAAATCAGCATGCAATATGAAGTTTACCTTAAAAATTATGTGTTGATGAATACACTCTTGTAATAAAAATAAAATATCATCTTTAATAGAATTTAAAAATAGTTTAGGAGTTTCAAAATTTACCCATGTCGAACGATCTACTCTACTCTTGATTTTATAAGTTAAAATCCTATTTCCAAAAGCAGATTCAATAACACTAACGTTTGATAAAGAATTATGTGAATTTAAAAGATTATTTTTATGAACATTACTTTTAAAATGATTAGCTAAATACCGTTTCTTGATAAATATATGGCACGTTGGACATTCCACTTGATCATCGTTACTGATACTGTTCCCTGCAGAGGTATGCGCTTCTGCTTCCGTTGTTGGTTTTTTGATGATCTTGGATTCTTTGCTGCACGTTCGCTTCGTTCCTCTTCCAAGTTGTAGTGGTTGACTGCTAAAATGTTTAAATTTATTAAAAACTGTATAAGACAATATGTAAATTATGATCGAAATGAATGTTTATTTTACATACTTAAACTGTGTTTCAACCATCGCACAGTGATGATACAACTCATCATCGTATGACGAATCGAACAGTTGACCCCTCTCCATTTCTTCACAAACTTTAGACAACTCCTGATTTAATTCGCTATTGAATAGTTCCGTATTCTCTTCCATGATTGAGGAGAAAAAAGCACTGGTGCACACTTCACTGAAGTTTTCCCTTCCTCTTTTTTATTTTTGATTCAGCTTCAAAAAAATGATCAATCGATTGCGATTTTCTTTTTCCACCATCGCATGTGTTATTATTAATGACGAGGTTATCACTCTCTTCTTGAGGGGAGAGTGGCGAGTAGTAATACTGTTTATAGGTATCTTCTTTAAAAGTTAAAAAAGTTAAAGTTACAGCCTATTAAAGTCCACTGCTGAACATAGGCCTCCTCTCATTTCTGAGAGGGTTTTAGAGCAAGGAAATGTCCGCCGCGCTCCCTCAATGTGTGTTGGCGAACTTCACATGCCTTCGAAATTTTCTCAGGCATGCAGGTTTCCTCACGATGTTTTCCTTCACCACCAAGCACGTGGTAATAAGCACTTAAAATTGCTATTAACAATTTAATTGGTGCTGGCGGGGATCGAACCCGGGTCGCGTACTGTGAAATTTACAGCTAGCGCTAACCATCTGAGTTACCACGGCTTAATCATATACATACACAATATTTAAATAAAATAATACACACACATGAAAATAACAGAAAAAAAGTAATTTAGTCAATAGAATAAACACTTACATCCATAGCCTTTGGTGTATTGAAGTAACACAAATGTACTATTGATAGATCCACTGTAGCCAAACGACCGTACACTAACTCGATGACTGCGTTTGTTGGTCTTATATACCACCAGTACGTAAAAATTCTAATCTAAAGTATTTCCGTAATGAGTTGATAATTACTTTATGCGTCAACCAGTTTATCTCACATTTCCGTTGCCTATCTCAACATTTCTTCGTATTGTGTTTTGTTTGGTGATCAATGACTCAAGTACAATTTGTATAACACAAAAATGCAATTTAATATTTAGAAACATATCAGTTTATCTCACATTTCCGTTGCCTATCTCAACATTTCTTCGTATTGTGTTTTGTTTGGTGATCAATGACTCAAGTACGATTTGTATATCACAAAAATGCAATTTAATATGTAGAAATCACTATAATTGACCATTCCTATGTTATTCATTGAGTAGCTAGGTACTGTAATAATTTACTAATAGCAGTAATATCATGGATACACTAGATGTACAACAACATCTGAAAAAGATTCACCCCAGTCTAGAAAATAATGTTTATGCAGCTAATAGACTACCTATGTATACCCACGTACCAACGTATATAATATGTAATTTGGATACAGATGATAAACCAGGGTCACATTGGGTAGCTTTATATATCGATACGAATGACGTCGGTCAATATTTTGATTCATATGGACGATCACCTGTACGATATCATCTAGAGTTTTTAAAAAGGAATTGTAAAAGATGGAACTGGAATGTTGATAGGATTCAGAATGAGTGGACTTCAGTTTGTGGCGAATATTGCTTAATGTATTTACTATATAAGTTTCAAGGATGTTCAATACATAGTTTTACGAGTATATTTACAAGGAACACATTGTACAACGATATTTTAGTGGATGAGATGTTTCGCTCCTATTTTATAGATAATAATTAATAAGATTTTGTATTTTATAAATAAAAATTGTAACAAAATTATGTAATGTGTTTTATTGATGATTCAGATTAGCGTTGTATAAACAAAGAATTATAATAAACAATAGCACTGATATAGTCGACGCACACGCTGCAATGAAGGTGATTAATGAACAATAGAACAATAGAAATAGGAACAATGGGACGCTAATGACGGTGGAGGCCCTTACCGGATATCAATTAGATATTAGCTAATTGATCTACACATCTCCGGAACCGTGCATTCTACACAAAAATGGACCGCGGATTCGTGATCAGAGCATGCCAAAACCTTTTTTTTTTTTTTTTTTTTTTTTTTTTTAGGATCGGGCGTCGACGAACGTCATTGAACCACGTCTGACTCAGGTGGTCTAGAAGTGGTACAACTACACTACTAACGTATTTTTTTTAAATAAAAGCTATTTATATCAACTTAAATCTAAATTAAAAAAAAATAACAAAACAATATATTACGCACATTATAATACGTATGCGGGCTTAAATTAAGACTTGGCTTGGCATATTGTAGTGGTTTTATTAAGCTTTTTATTAATTACAGACTGTGAGGCGTTTCATCTTAACCCTTAGAGGTGGCAACGCATTTGAAATCGCTTACGTCTTTTTAATGGCCTTGTCAATAATATTTCATCTGGAAACGTAATTAAAGATCCATACCAATGCCCACTACTCATTGTAAGTGAACTAGATGTAAAAGTCACCGTCAAAGTCAAAGTCTTAATATTTTTATTCAAAATTGACCATCGTTATATTAAGTCCTTACTGCGATAGACTTTGTGACAAGAAGTGGCAAGAAGTTCACAAGTTTTTCTCCCGATTAAATTGCATGAGCCAATGAGCTTTTCCCGTTGTATGAAGAATTTACCTGTATCGTTCCGCTTGGCAAGCGGATTGACGTACCAGGCATCTCGCACCTGTGTCACTGCTGTCTGTTGTCTGGGTATTTATTTATTTATTGAAAGTGAAAGTGTATATATATATATATATATATATATATATATATATATATATATATATATATATATATATCGTTCTGCCCTTTCTGACGACCATTTGCTTTCCTAAAAAAACTCCTGAAATTAGCAATAAAACAAATTAATACGCTAGAAGACCTGCAGCTGTACAGAACGTATTATATATGTAAGTGTCAAAGTATGGTCAGCAATGGTATTATAATGTTTATTATTAATTATTATTTAAAAAGTATAAAATATATAAAATAAAATGTATAAAAGACCACAAAATCTTTCCGTTGAGCATGTGAAAATATCTATATGCTCGAAGGTCTCATTATTTGTGGCAACCATACGTCGAATCGGTGAACGTGTACCGGTATTGGATCGACAGTTACTTACGGCAAAGAGTGGGTATTTTACGTTTGGCATAAACATATTATTATTCTAGTATTTCCCAATGTCACCTCTTACAAAATATCAAGTGCCGCTCATTTTACAGCAAAATTTTATTTTAGGTCAACATGGATAGCGCTGGAGATGCGGAAGGCAATTTCTCAGTCATAGGCCTAGTGGAAGATCACACTGTTCCTGGTGGTTGGAGCGCTCAACCAGTAGCAGCTTTTAGATATGCTAACTCTTCGGATCCATTGCCGGTTGGTGACAAATTGATATTGACCTTTTGCTTTACATAGAACAACTATGGCGGCACTGTCGTCACGCCACAAGCGTAACGCACTGAAGCTTAAATCACGCTATTAAAGTTCTAAATTACTGCGGTATATATAGAATAGCTCCAAACTACCACACGGAGCGTTGGCCGCTCCCTGGGCTGAACACCTTGCCTGGCGGGAGTTCTCCCCTTTCCCTTCCTTGGCCAATAGTGACCCCGGCGTGATCTGAACATTCAACATGCAACCTTCGAAAACCTCAACTTCAAGCTTTCGTCATCTCCTTCAAGTACCCCATATATTCGCTCCCGAGCTGATTGTTTGTAGTCTTCAGATTCTGCAAGCCATCTATCTAGCTTCACAAGGTTTATCCCAGCACTGGAATAACGCTTCCCGTTCCGTCAAGCTACTCTCTGGGCCCCAGTGTTCGGCACGGCTCTGAGCCTTACTGCTAACTTCCGCTTCACGGCACTCTCGCAGATTAGTTGCCTTCTTCTCGAGTCACCGCAGATTACAAGGCAATCCCTGGCACTTGCACATTCGTCGACAACTAGACTGCATCATCGAACTCTGGTCTGGAGCAGAGGGGTGATGTGGCGGCGCTATCGTCGCGCCACAAGCAAAACGCACAGAAGCCTAAAGCGTGCTATCAAAGTTCCGAAGTACTGCGGTATATATAGAAATCTCCGAGCTACCACACGGAGCGTTGGCCGCTCCCCGGGCTCGGCCAAACAACTAAAAGAATTCACTACTACTTAAACAGTGAATTATTGTTAGGCCGGAATAGGTTTCTCCAAAGTTTAGGTAATTTCTCAAACACTTGATCGCAAATACAGAGAGAGAGTGGTAGCTTAAGAGCTTAAGTACTTGCTGTAAATTTTACAGTACGCGGAGAACTTGGGTTCGATCCCCGCCGGCACCAATGAAATTGTTAATTGCAATATTAAGCCCGTATTTATGACGTACTCGCCGATGAAGAAAAGTAGCGCGGTAGATGGTGGTGATTGGCTTGCCCTAAACCCTCTATAATATACCCAATATATAATAAACTTTACTTACGCTTTGTAACGTCCACGGAAACCTGACGTTTCTGAAAGTTTCGGTAAAGTCTGACACGCCGTCAATAACATATTATAACATTCAAAACCAACATATACCTTTTTATTAATAAACTCTTATAAATCAAACAATTGAATACTATTAAAAATTAAGATTCCTTTTATACTTCTTTCTTATAAAGTTAACAACTTGAAGGTTTTCCTACAGGAATTAGTTGGAGGCAGCCAAATCGCGTGGATTGGAGGCAAGCCCCCAATAGCTGAGCCTCCTTGTGGTTTCGATGGCAAGAAATGCTCCCTGCCCCATGACCCTGGCGTGCTCTTCGCGGCTGGAGCAGTCGCCGCAGCCGCCGTCCTAGCAGCGGCCTTACTTCTTCGCCATTATAGATATGAGCAGAAACTTGCCTCCGTGCTTTGGAAGATCGAGGCGAAAGATTTGACTATAATTTCGGCTTGCAGTGATAACAAGGTTAGTTGGTTGAAAACGTTGAATGTGTTTTTTTTATAAAACTTAAATTAAATTAATCTAAATTATTTGATAACATTTTTTTATTGACACAAATTAAGGTTTACATTATTTATCCTTAAGACATTTGAACAAATGATATGAGTTATAACTTTCTATACAATTTTATACACTAGCGTCTAAATTAGGCCGAGCCTGTATCTTAGATACTAGTCTCTTCCAAAGACACCATTATTTGCAGTTATAAAATATACGGCATATTACGATACACTTAATCTATTACGTTACAGCAACTACACAGGACATAATTTTATTTGCGTTTACCGTCACTCTAACTTATTATGCGTATAAAAGGTTAGACTACTATTTATAGGAACTTTATTACTTTCTTAATATAAAATGCAATAAATGATTATTGTTATCACTAGGCAGAATTAACAATTCTACAGGTATTTAACAAAAGTTATGCAATGTACAGTGAACAGACATAGACATATTATATAATTATTTATTCATGGTTTTAGCAAAGGTTTTCTATTTTTGTTTTAAATTATATTTTGACTTAATTAAATATAGTATTATTAGTAACTATACAAGATATGAAATAATCTTTAATTATTATTATTAGGGTAGTTTTAGTAGATATGTATTATTTTGATGTTATATTATTTTAAAGTGACCAAGAATTTTTCAGTTTCTTCTTTATTTAGAGTTTTTAACATAGATAATAGTAGTGTTTTACATTCATGTTTGTTAAGTAGGTAGATTTATTTATTTTATTATAAAACATAGGACCTAAGTAACATTGAAATTTATAAAATATGTTTTGTTGGCCGGTAGGACAAACCTTATCGTTCCGGCGATTGGCTGTTAATTCGTGATTATATTATGTAAGTTTTACATGTTGGAAAATAACAGCGTCTTTAATATATAATTGTCTAACTGTCAATACGTCACATTCTGAATATAGTTTGTCAGTGGTATAGCTAAATGGTTTAAATGTCATTACTTTCACTAATATACGGTGCGCTCTTTCTAATTTTATGAGATGAGTTTTACGAGCTCCACCCCATGAGGTAATACAGTAAGACAAGATAGACTGTGCCAATGATAAGTAAGAAGTCTTCAGTAAAGAATAGTCTGTCACGTGTTATAGTATTTTGAATAGAATATATACCAAGCTTCTTGTTTTCCCTGCTAACTGATTAATATGAGGGCACCATATCAATTTGCCTAGTCAGTTTTGTTTCATCAGATCTAGCAGTTGCGTCTCATCCTTGACTTCAATATGAGATGAGTCAGCCGTTTTACGAAGATATACTTTTCCATGGCTAGTCCAACAAAATTTGTAGCTTCAGTTTTTGCGTAGCTTCTTGCTAAGTAAAATAATCTTCGCCCTTTGTTCGTTAAAGCCAATTTTCGTCGAAAGTCGGCCAGCTGCTGACCCCTTGGGTTCCGTTGCCCTATTCCAAATTTCCCTACCTTCAGCTTATTGTTCTCCCTTATGCCTAGTGTTGCGTTGAAGTCTCCCGTTAACACCGTATAGTGGGTTTTGGAGGAATGCATGGCTCTAGAGATATCCTCATACATTTCCTCCACCGCCTCATCGGGATGTGCCGAAGTTGGTGCGTAAACCTGTATGACCTTCAGCAAATACCGTTTGGTGATTCTGAGTATGAGGTACCCAATCCTCGTCGACATACTCCCAGTCTTTACAACATTGTTAACTAGAGACTTGGGGACGATAGATCCACCTCCTTGGGACAGATGGTCGCCCTCCTGGTGATTTATCAAGTTGCAGGATTCGAGGATTACCGTGTCCTTCCCCTCTATTCCGACCTCGGATAGTCCTATAATATTCCAGCGCTACTTGTCTATCTCTTCTTGCAGTTCTAGGATCTTCTCGTCAGTCTTCAGGGTGCGTGCATGTTATAAGTTGCCAGGCCGAGTCGTCGTAGGTGGCAACCGAACCTCCACCGGAGATTCTTAGCACCCCCTACCCCGCTGTTACCATGGTCACCACCGTAGCCAGGAATAGCGGGACCGCCGGGGCTTGAGGCCGTTTATTAGTGTCGTTGCTCATGGGGGGTATATTGCCATAGTTGCCACGCTTGGCTAGCGGAATGGCAACCGCAGTTTTTTTATTGCTTTTTGGTTTTATCAGAAAGATGCTACTGCCCATCTTCCGCCTCAATTTCCCTCTGTCGTCTCTTACGACACCCACGGGAAGACGCGTAGTTGCGTAGATTCAATACGTCACGAGCATGTCGGTTCATCGGTGACACGAACCCATTAGTTTTTCCTCTACCAAAAATCGCTCATCGCGTCTAAAGAAGTTTCCACTATACAATAATTTCCACATAATTTAATAGCTTTTGAAGTCGGAGCCTTAATATAATTACGTGTTTCGCGTCTACACTAGGCATTTTCAGGTGCAGTAGGCTCTGCGGTGGCCGACCCCTGAGAAGGAGCCTTAATTCTTTGCCTTAGCGCTGACTTCAAAAGCTCTTTAAATTATGTGTAAGTTGTTTTAAAAACTAAAACGAAATATAATTACACTTAATTTAATAACTCAGGGTAGGGGCCTTAATTATTCTTTTTAAATTTTATTATTTGGCTCTCTTGAGTTTTTTTTTTATTTTATCTATATGGCCCTTGGTATTGTGATTATGTCACAATAATTCTATCAATGTCCGGTCTTTGGTCTGTCACACCTTGTCTTGAGGTTTTTTGGTGGAAAATGAGTTAGAGGTTATTAGGTAAAAATGTGGATAAAAACAAAGTAGGCGTTTCGGTGAACGCCACTAATAATGAATCGTCCCTTTTGAGTTGACTAAACAATAACACAAACTCAAGATGACAATCTCAAACGTCGTCTATTTACATTCAAACAATTCCCCCCCCCCCCCCCCCAATCCTTTTTTCACGTAGTGTAATTTTTCTTCTAATATAAAAGGGATCATTTAAGTTATAGTTTACTCAATAAAAATATTGGTTGATTCATAATTGATTGATTATATTTATACACAATTGAGGACGATATCGGGTATATACATATAATAATTTAAAATTAAAAAAATTCTAGAACCGACTTCAATATATTATTAAGGATAACTCAAAAACTATTGGTCAGACCTTAATAAAATTTATATGGAATGATGTGACGCACCAGCTTCCAAATAAAAAAGAATCATCAAAATCGGTTCACGTAGAACAAAGTTATGAGGTAACACACATAAAAAAACATACAGTCGAATTGAGTACCTCCTCAGCATCCTCAGCAGCTGAGCATCGACCACAAATGGGTCAAAATTTCCTGCTCATACACGATAATGCGCGATCACATAAGGGGGTAACAGCCTGATTGCACGAACATGATGTCACGGCCCTAGAATGGCCAGCGCAATCGCCAGATTAAAATCCCATTGAGCATGCTTGGGATGTGCTTCAAAGAAGAGCTCTGAAGGATTCTTTTAAAAATCTGGTTATAGAAGAACAACTTTTCATGCGTCTCAGTAGGAACTAGGACAATATTCCTCAACAAGATATTGACAACCTCATTCTGAGTATGCCCAACCGATGCAGCTGCGTTGTGAATGTCATGCGTGTTTTCATTGATTATTAACTCTTAATTAATAGCCGCCCTTGCAAGGCTTATTTTATTTTTAACCGACTTCAAAAATGAGGAGGTGCTGAATTCGAGTGCATTTTTTTATTTTTTTGTGTGTTATGTCATAAATTTATAAACCGATATTAATGATTCTTTTTTTAGGGTACCGTATCCAAAGGGTAACCAACGGGACCCTATTACTAAGCCTCCACTATCCGTCTGTCTATCTGTCATCGGGCTGTATCTCATGATCCGTAATAGGTAGATAGTTCGAATTTTTACAGAATGTATTTCTGTTGATGCTATAACAACAAATAATAAAATAAAATATTTGAAAGCTGGTGATTCTCATTTAGTCCCATATTAAGCAAGGTCTGACCAGTAGTTTTGAGTTATATTTAATAATTTATATTGAAGTCGGTTGTACAAAATTTTGAATTTTATCACTTGTTTTATTTAAACCTTAAACTTCATGATGTACAGTTTCGAGAATTGCGATTTTTTTTCTCTGTGAAATCTCGTTAAAGTCAATATTCACATAAAAAAATGGTAGGTTATTAAAGTGTTCTTGGATGTCTACATGTCCTAAGAAAATATTGATATACTCTTTGGAATTCATGCGTTGATAAAATATCCCAATACCGTGTCGATATGTTTATGTGATCTGCTTTTATAAAATAATATTTGTTCTCTATATAATAAAAGGTTTATGTGATTAATTTTAGACTTCTATACCTCAAGAAGTTGACACAAGACGAGCGCATACAACGATTGCTCTGTACAGGGGGAACATCGTCGCTGTTAAGAAGCTCAATAAAAAAAGCATCGACGTAACTAGAGTTATCAAAAAAGAACTAAAACAGGTAAGTGTCACCACCATCATCAAATCAGCCAAGATAGTCCACTGCTGGACATGGGTCTCCCCCATTAAGGTATATGCCATACTTGCCACGCTTGGCAAGCGAGTTGGCGAGCGCAGTCCAAGGTATTATATTAACAAGGAACGCTGCTGCCCATTCCTTGGATTTGTTCCTTAGTCGGTTTTTTGACACCCACTGGAAGAATTGAGGTAAGTGCATTACTTAATAATTAAAAATTATAGTATTATATTGTTACGAGCTTGGGGTTCGAGACAATTAAAAACTGCCGATTGAATTATCAAAATTGAAACTTTAATTACAGAACACTAATTACAACTTAAAACCACACTAATAATAAAACACAATTGTAATACTGATCACTTTAGTTCGCAGTTATTTCACTTCGAAGTATTCGCTTATATCGCCAATTCGATACTACCTCAGTCGTGGTCTATACCGGCCTTATATAAGGCCTCAGATAGTTTCCAGAACCTTCTACTATAGAAACATCTAGTATGTTCGAGTACATATCGGTCCCGAAGCTTCTAGAAGGATCTTGACTCCTAGTTCTGCTACTCGATACTAGAGAGCGCTGGTGGTAACTAGTGTTGCCATGTACAAAACATTAATAGTGGCGCGCAACAATATATAATTGAATGATAAACGAACTTACAGTGCACCTGATGGTGAGTGGCTACTGCAGCTCATGATCACTTGCAATCAATCTATAAAAATAAATAAAAATGGAGTGTCTGTTTGTAATATCGAAATAACAGCTTTTTACTACATGCATATGAAACAATATACTTACGGTACTACGGTACTTATAATAAAAAACACAATTTTTAAAATTTTTGTCGTCTGTTTGTCTGTTTGTTCCGGCTAATCTTCGAAATGTCTGGATCGATTTTGACGGGACTTTCACTGTCAGATAGTTGATGTTATAAGGAGTAACTTAGGCTACTTTTGTTTTAGAAAAAGAATAAGGTTACGCGCAAAAAATTTAAAACCCTAAAAACACGCGGGTGAAGTCGCTAGTTTCAAATAAAGAAGACTAGAGATACTCGTAAGTGGTCGGTCACCTTTGAAGACTAAAATGGGATGCCCCACAGCCTGTAATTCATTGCACCACTCAGATCGGAACAGCAGTTTAATCACTGCCGTTCCGGTCTCAAGTATATAAAGGACAGCAGTGTATCACCTAACCAGACGAACTCCAAGGCGTAAAGGAGTCCCACCACCTAGCAAATAAAATAGTATCATCATTATTATTATTAACATGAAATTTATAAAATCATTAATAACGTGATATGTATAATGTTCCCACAGAGAATCAATATTATAATATACATATCTGTGGCAAAATACATGTTGAAAAATTTATAATATCAATAAGAATTACTATATAGGTACGGTCCCACCTGATGGTAAGTGGTGAGGTAGCCTAAGATGGTGAAGCGCATTGACTTAGCAAAAGCCTATTTACTCTTTCCTTAAAGATACCCACATTGTAATCGGATGAAAAGACAGATGCTGGCAACTTATTCCACTCCTTTGCAATACGCATGATGAATGATATAGCAGAAAGATTTTTATATTTTTTCATGTTTTTTTTTTATTTTCTGTGACTTGGACGAATAAGTGGAGAAGCATTAGGAGAAGAATGAGCGGAGAGACGAACGGTAAAAGGGTAATATGGAGAGAGACGCATTTTGGGGAAATTCAAAATATTGGCGTTGATTCAAAAATATCGATCCTACATATATTTGTGACTAGCCTAACTTCGTTCGCGTGGAATTAGTACTTTTATTATGATAAGTGATAATGACTTATCTGTACTTTTAATTGTTGCGAAGAAACTAGACACTAATCTGGATTGATTAACATCAATTATACATTTGCTCAATAATCACCGCATGGAACAGACTTCAACTGGTAATATTCCATAGAAATTAAAAAAATAAAATAAACCGAAAACCACGGACAGAAATTTTTACATTAAAATATTTCCATTGTAAGGCCTAGAACACTTTAATAGCGGCTTGATCAAACTCTTGTAAGAATCGGTATTTTTGATTCATTCAAAAAATAGCAAAGCAATATAATATAGATCATCTTTTAATAATGATGAATATGTATATAAAACATAATGAAGATATTTAAAAAAATCTATTCATAGATCCGCGAACTGCGTCACGAGAATCTGACTGCATTCGTCGGTGTATGTGTGGAGAGCGGATCCGCATGTATCGTGTCCGCATATTGCTCGCGCGGATCTTTGGCTAGAGTACTCGCAGACAGAGACCTTCTACTCGATGACATGTTCGTGGCCAAACTCGTTGCGGATCTTCTCCGCGGACTAACATATCTTCACGATTCTCCTCTCGTGTCACATGGAAATCTCACTTCGAGCAACTGCTTGGTGAACAGTGATTGGGTATTGCAGATTGCGGATTACGGATTACATACTTTAAAAAGTGAGTTTGTTTAATATGAAAATGTTATTTTAATAAACATACATTTTAGATATTATTGCTAAATATTTAAAACTAATCATTTTTTTTATACAACTGACGTTACAAACAAACCTGTGGTTCATCTCATGGTTAGTGGCTGCTGCCGCCCATGAACACCTTCAGCCAACTACAGAGAAAGAAGGCTATAGAAGCGTTGTCACTTCTGAGGACTAAAATGTAGAGAGGTTTATACATGGTAGAGCCATGCTGCAGCTATATCAGTATATATAGATGCAGCATGGCCCTACCACTATATATAGTTGTAAAATGCCGTGTAGTGGCGGTTAAGAATATCCACTACCCCATATCTTCCCGTGGGTGTCGTAAGAGGCGACAAAGGGAAACAGGCAGGAGATGGGCAGCAGCATCTTCCTGATAACAGCAAAAATACAACAAAAAACTACGGTTGCCAACCCGCTCGCCAAGCGTGGCAACTATGGCAAATAACCCCCTATGAATGTAACAAAGAGAGGGCCCCCAGTCCCCGGCGGCCCCGCTATTCCTGGCTACGGTGGCGACCATGGTAACGGCGGGGCAGGGGGTGCTAAGAATCTCCGGTGGAGGTTCGGTTGCCTCCTAAGATGACTCGACCTAGCAACATACAACGCACGCACCCTGAGGACTGACGAGGAGATTGTGGAGCTGGAAGAAGAGATGGACAAGTTACGCTGGCACATTATAGGATTATCCGAGGTCCGAAGAGAGGGGGAGGCACGGTAATCCTCGAATCCGGCAACTTACTCTATCACCGGGAGGGCGACCATCTGTCCCAAGGAGGTGTCGGATTTATCGTCCACAAGTCTCTCGTTAACAACGTTGTAAAGAATGAGAGTGTGTCGACGACAGGTTTACGCACTAACCTCGGCATACGCCGATGAGGAGGTGGAGGAAATGTATGAAGATATCTCTAGAGCCATGCATTCCTCCAAAACCCACTATACGGTGTTAATGGGAGACTTCAATGTAAAACTAGGCACAAGAGATAACGGTGAGCTGAAAGTAGGAAGGGCCGACTTCATGGAGAAATAGGGACTCTTTATGGTGAACTCTTTCTTCCAGAAGCGGCCCCACAGAAAGTGGACCTGGTCGAGCCCCGATGGTTCCACAAAAAATGAGATTGACTTCATTATGACGACCAGACGACAACTGTTCAGTGATGTCTCCGTGATCGCGAGGGTGAAAACTAGTAGCGATCACCGAATGTTCAGAGGCACTCGTCTAATGAAGTCAACGCTCCGTCCCCCTCGTGCTCTAATCCAAAGTCCCGAAACCTTTCAGTTCGAGCTACGAAACCGTTTTCAGTGCCTAGAAAATTGCAATGCAGTGGACGATATGAATGACAAGCTCGTGGAAACTGTCCATGCGGTCGGAGCTAAATTTTGCAAGACCCGCCGCAGAAGAACACAAAAACTCTCCGATCACACTCTTAATCTCATGGCTATTAGACGGGATATGAAGCTGCAGTCTTCAAGAGATTTGACAGCAAACAGGCAACTGAACAGATAGATCTCCAAATGCATGCGGCGGGAGTTACGCAACATCAATACAAATTGTATTGAAGAAGCGATCGAGCGGAACCAAGGCTCCAAAGTCTTTGCCTTGGTTCCGCTCGATCTGTCTGCCAGAAAGAGCCAACTGTCAAAGCTGAAGACCGAGTGTGGCAGCATCGTTTCCGGGGCACCTGATATTTTGAGTGAGATTGAGAGGTTCTATGGGCAGCTGTACATGTCATCGTTAGAGCCACACGCAAGTGTGAGTGACGATCCAAGAGCGAGTCTTATCCGACACTATTCCGAAGATATCCCGGACGTCAGTCTGAGCGAGATTAGAATGGTTCTCCAGCCCCTTAAAAACGGCAAGGCCCCAGGCGAGGATGGAATTATAGCGGAGCTTCTGAAATCGGGTGGAAAACCGGTACTTGTAGTCTTTCAGAAACTCTTGAATTCCATCCTCCATGGATGGCAATAGTGCGGTGGTCCTGTTTTTCAAGAAAGGTGACAACGCTCTCTTGAAGAACTACAGATCGATTTCCCTTCGGAGCCGCGTCTACGTGCTGTTTTCGAGAGTTATTACGAATCGTCTCGCGCGCAGACTTGACGACTTCCAGCCTCCCGAACAAGCCGGTTTCCGAAAGGGCTTTAGCACCATAGACCACAAACATACCCTTCGGCAAACTGTACAGAAGTCCGAGGAGTACAATTTGCCACTATACCTGGCGTATGTGGACTATGAGAAAGCCTTTGATTCCGTCGAAATTTGGGCGGTGCTGCAGTCCTTTCAGCGGTGCCACGTACATACGGTATTAACATCAATGGCGAGTAGATCACTCACCTTCGATTTGCCGACGATATAGTCCTTATGGCAGAATCGCTGGAGGAACTAAGCACCATGCTCAATGACCTCAACAGTGTCTCCCAACGGATAGGTCTTAAGGTGAACATGGACAAAACAAAAATCATGTTTAATGTCCATGTCACACCTATGCCGGTAGTTGTTGGGAGCACTAAGCTCGAAGTTGTTGACAAGTATGTTTACCTGGGACAAATAGTCCGACTAGGTAAGTCCAACTTCAACCCAGAGGTCAATCGACGGATTCAACTCGGCTGGGCAGCTTTCGGGAAACTACGACACATCTTCTCGTCAGACATACCTCAAAACTTTAAAACGAAATCGTATAACCAGTGCGTGTTGCCAGTGATGACTTACGGATCTGAGACGTGGTCCTTCACTGCTGGCCGTATGAGGAAGCTCAAGGTCGCTCAGCGAGCTATGGAGAGGGCTATGCTCGAGGTTTCTCTGCGTGATAAACTTAGAAATGAGGATATCCGCAGTAGAACCAGAGTAACCGACATAGCCCAACGAATTAGTAAGCTGAAGTGGCAGTGGGCCGGCCATATAGCTCGAAAAACCGACACCCGATGGGGAAGAAAGGTTCTCGAGTGGCCGGTAGGCGAAGTGTAGGGTGACCCCCACGAGATGGAGTGACGACCTGTTAAGACATGCAGGAAGTCGATGGATGCAGGTGGCTCAGGACCGTGCTTTGTGGCATTCCTTGAGGGAGGCCTATGTTCAGCAGTGGACTTATGAAAGGCTGTAATGATGATGAATGATAGTAGTAGCACGAATGGGTCAGCTCAACCGGGGAAGGACCATGCTCTCACAGAATACTAGCGTAAAATGACAGCTTGATGCTGCTGTGTTTCGTAGGGTGAGTGTATAGAACCGGAGATCCATTTTACTGGAAAAGAAGCATTCTGTTTTAGTCCTCATGTGACGTTGCATCTGCATTTTGATTCTATATTGAGGATAAATGTAGATGTCTATGGGTCACAGCAACCACTTATCATCAGGTGGACTGTGTGCTCGTTTGTCACCCTATCCTATATAAAAAAAATGTGGAACGCCTCTCCGTAAAATTATTAATCCGTAATTATACGGGCACTCGATACCATTCCGATCGGAACACATCTGTGCATGCACCGCTATTTGGCGGCAGGAATAGGTAAGAGGACAATCCAGATGGAGTCCTAGGCACTAAAGGAGTCCTACCGCCTAGTTAAATACATGATTTAAGACATAAGTGATCATTTGAGCGAAACGAACAGAAATAAGTAAGTATTAAAAGTTTTTTTTAAATTATTTTAGGCCAGTGCTTGACTACTATTTCACCTAATGGTAAGTTGTAATACAGCCGAAGATGGTTAAGGCTACTGATTTATCTTAGGAAAAACCTACTCACTCCTAAAGACATACAGTGAATGAAAATGTCAAAATACGAAAGCAACTATCAAGGAGTATCAGTGACAGTAATTTAAGGCGCGGCTCGGTTGGCTGGTGGCCTGTTGGGCTTAGGAAAAACTAGTTTAGTTTCGGAAAAACTACTTTCTCCTAAAATTTATTTAAAATTTTTGACCAGTAGCATATATACAATATGCATATATATTATGAGACATTTTTTATACAGGTATGGAAACAGAGGACGCACTTCGCTTGGAGAAGCGCATGCTATGGAGGGCACCAGAACTCCTGCGCGATCCAAATCCACCGCCCTGGGGCTCCCAAAAAGGGGACGTCTATTCTTTTGGCATTATACTCTATGAAATTCTTGGACGAAGTGGTCCTTGGGGTGACACCAATTTGACAAATGACGGTAAGTTTTAGCGAATTTTCTTATAAATAGCTTCAGATATGCATTAATAATATCAGCAACCCACTTGACATAATGTTGGCTTATCGCTAAGTATAGAAGGTGGGTTGTAATAGGTAGCAGGTGAATTGACTATCGCAGAAACAGAAACAGAAACTTTTTTATTCGATATAGATAATAAATAATACTTATTGAAAGTCACTTTTTTAATTAATTTACCACTTGTTCGGCAAAAAACCTCTATCCTGGGAAGAACCAGCAAGAAACCCAGCGGGACTTTAAAAAAATAACAGCTTACAATCATGTATGTTACAATTAATAACAGAATACAAATTAGAAATAGCCTGGTAGCGATCACCTTTCCCATGAGTTATTATCAACCATAAATTCCTTAATATTATAATAACCCTTTTTACTAGACGTATCGCACTTTTGTCACTGCTCCCTGTCCTCAATATGGAGATTATGAATTTGATATTAACGAATATAATGGACAACCATGTATCGGTGCATTTTCGAGAGAGGACCATGGAACAGGATCCTTTGTCCTTTATTAATTCTACTAAGGATATAACAAAGTTTCCTGAGCATCATTATATCTTTAGAAGGCAATACACCGAAAGAAATATTAACAATTTCTACACACACAATCATTATCATTTTTAAACGTTTATGCAAAGGGAAATGCATTAAATAAATTATAAAATTTTATGACACCTTTTTATTTATTTATATACAGTATATATATAGCTTTCCCATAGAGTCAAAGTTAATAATTTTAGTCAAAAAATTAAATAGAGTCAGTATAAAAACTTCCCGAAGAACCAAACGTACACTCCGATATAAATATTATAAAAATAAAACTCACTAGAACTAAAAAAACTAAAGCTAACGCTTTTGCTGGCACAAAAGCAGGATAAATCACAACTACGTAATAAATTCAAACAATATAACTAAAGATTTTTTATAGGATAAGGGTAACAAACGAGCACACAGTTCACCTGATGGTAAGTGGTTGCTGTGGCCAATATAGACATCTACACCTATCCTCGACTATGAATCAAAATGCAGATGCGCTGTCGCCCGTGAGGACTAAGATGGACTGCCTCGTTTCCAGTAAAAGGGGTGTCCGGTTCTCTACACTCACCATACGAAATACAGCAGCGTTAAGCTGCTATTTTACACTGGTATTCTGTGAGAGCGTGGTCCTATCCCGATCGAGCCGCTATACTACTAATATAGCTGCAGCATGACTCTACCACATATACTAATTACGTAATACTACGTACGCTACTTGGATCCTCTTAAAACAAAATTGAAACATCAAATTACCAACACTTATAGATAGTCTCACATTCAAAAATCAAAATATACTAAATCCTATTGTACTACATAGTTTAATCAGCATTCCATACATTTTTTTACTTATTATAAGGCAGTGCCTGACTACAATTCCAACTGGTGGTAAGTGGTGATGCAGCCCTAGATGGTAAATCACACTGTCTTAGCGTAACAAACGCCTATTCACTGTTGCCTTGAAGACGCCCAGATTGTATTCGGACGGAAAGATAGGTGCCGGCAAATTATTCCACTCCTTTGCTGTACGCATTACGATAGACGAAGCAAACCTTTTGGATCGACAACAAAGGGGTGATAACCTGGTTTTCCGATGGTGGAAAGGAGAGGGAGGAATTAAAACGTGTAATTTCTGCGCACACTCACCGAAATGCACCCTATAGAATACCGAAAGACTGGCTACTCTGCGCCTTCCATTTAAGACAGAAAAAAATCAGTTCAAGAAACTTAAGTATAAATAAACTTATAAATTAGTGTAATATTTAAGACCATGTGATATTATCGATAGTAAAAACTATATCTCATCACTTAAAAACATAAAATCTACTGGTTGTGATGAAGTAGAAAGACATATTGTGTTCTCTCATATAAGTCACTTGAAACAGTAATTTTTCCTAAACAATTGAAAGGCTCCTTTGTTATACCATAGCATAAATTATTAAAAATTAAAAATTTTGTACAACCGACTTCAATAAATATAATTAAGTATAACTCAAAAACTATTAGTCAGACCTTGATCAATTTATATGGGACCACATGTAAAGTAGCAGCTTTCAAATAAAAAATGAATCATCGGAATCGGTTCACCCAGTAAAAAGTTATTAGGTAACACACATAAAAAAGATACAATCGAATTGAGTACCGTCTCCTTTTTGAAGTCAGTAGAAAAAGTTATATAAATAATATTAACAACTATAGGCCAATAACATAAAAACAATACTAAGTATCAAAAGTACATGAGAAAGTTATGCACAAGACTCTTAAAATGTTTAAATCCGTTAATATACTAAAAAAAACCAGAGCAACATTGTTTTCAAAAAAATCTATAACACGTGCTACTTTTTTCTATATAAAAATTGTAACAGATTACGTAGAGAAAAGATCCAAAAGAAAGAAAGATCCCGATTTCAGCGGTCTATTTTGATATAAGCAAGGCATTATATATATATATATATATATATATATATATATATATATATATATATATATATATATTGTTAGTTATAATCTTCTCTAAAGAAAAGATAATGTGTGTGATATAAGTGAGCCAGCTTACTCCTAGATACAAAGCTGTTTAAAATATAGTAAACATTGTGTGGAAATAAAACGTCTCCCACACAGAAGCGGCTTGCGGTGGCGGCCGCGGAGCTAGAGCCGCGGCCCGCGATCAGCCGCCACCGCAAGCCGCTTGTGTGTGGGAGATACTTAAAATAAAAACATAATCAATGGTAGGAAATTTAAAAAATTACATGTTAGTACGTACAAAACTATTACGAAGTGTCGTAAGGAAGTGTTTTGGGTCCTATTATTTTTAATTTACATAAAACGACCTACCACATTATATTAAATATACCGAAAATAAATTTTAATTGCAGTTGTATTAGAGATTATTAAAATGAAATAAAAAATATACAACTGAAAATGTTTTTAAATAAAGAAACAACTATAATCTAAGTAAAACATAAAAATAATCCGCAATTACTTGACATTAAGTATAATGATGAAAAAAAAATAAACCTAGCAAGCTAACAGCATAGCAAAGTGGCGAAGCAATCAGCTTTGTAGCGGTTTCTAACGGTTGCCGTTGAGCAATCAGTTTCAAAATAGGAGGTTCAGATGCCTGGGTGATCAGTAATCGATTGCTGAAAACAGAATTTGAAAATTCGAAACCGTTCTCGAGATAATCGTGGGACAGACGGACAGACGGACAGACATCGTGAAATCAATAAGTGACTTCACAAGCTTCGCCACTTAATAAATGACTTCGCAAGCTTCGCCACTTAATAATGCTACTGAATGTCTGCCACCGTTTAAGGTTTTATTTTAGACAAATGTTGTAATTGAAAAGATCATTTATATAAAGTTTATTCTAAAGAATTTTCATTTAAATTTTCTCTACGAAAGCTAGCTTCAATCTTGTCAACAAACACTACTCTTATTACATAATATTGTGCATATTATGCAGCAGCAATATTAAGACATGGCCTCATATTATGGGGAAACTAAGCAGATATAAACCGTGCTCGTATAACGCACAAACGCTATGCAATCAATTTGTGGCGTCGAGCCACTTGTTTCCTGCAAACATTTTCGAAATTACAATATTCGTAAAAGGTATTAGTTACGAAACTAAAAGGTACAGTAAAATATAGTACCAGTAACCAAGAAAAAAATATTTTGCCTTCAGTAAAAACTAATCTGTACTCAAAAAATTATTATATGAAGACCATTGAAGAGTTTAATTAAATTCCAAATGAAGTAAGACAATTATATTGCGACCGAATTAGTCGTAATCAATTAAAATGGCTTTTGGAAAAACAAGTTAATTCGGTAAATGAACTGCTGAAAATAAAAAAATAAAACTTTTATTTTGACTTTTAAATGTTTCTTCTTTAATCATGTTTTATGGCGCTAGTATTAAAATTGTTAATTGATTCATATTTAATTTTTCTTTACTATTTTATTTTCTAACAAGTTTTTTATATACCAAAACCGGTGACATATGTTATTTTAAACAGATATCTTTGTACTAATTTTTATGCCTCCACACTAGTTGAATTTATAAGTAGGTAAGCTTAAAATACTCGTGTGTAAACTATGAAATATGACTCCGAGTTCGCCGAATTTTGAGTTTCTTTTACTTCCACAAGCTTTCAAATAAAAAAATAATAATTATTGATATCGGTTCACGTAGAACGAAATTATAAGGTGACACACATTAAAAAACATACAGTCTAATTGAGTACCTCCTGCTCTTTGAAGTCGGTAGAAAAACTGTATAAGACGACAATCGTTATAAGAAATATTAATCTGCATTTATGAGCAAATAATAGAAACAATATAATTTGTTACAAAATGACAATTGTTTTATTTTTTTTTTTCATTATTTGGACAACAAAAATGTACTGTACAACACAATAACAACATGCTGACAGGTATTATATAAAACAAACATTTCAAAAATTGTATTCTAATATAATATGTTCACAAAATTAGTATGTAATAATTAACAATAAAGTTTGGTAGGTACTTAAAGTTAGATTATATCAATTCTAAACTAAATATCAAATTAATTTAAGTGTAAATTAAATTAAATACTTGGAATAAAGATATGTACTGATATAATTTGTTTTTCATGGAGGCCACAGAACCTATGAAAATGACTGAATGTACACATGCGGTACATAGGCTGCACTAGAAGTATCGGGAATGGAATATTTCCACTATTTCTGTCATATTAAAATCTCTTTAATTGAAAACTCCTTGGTTTTAAAAATCGAATACCATTTATTTATTTAAAAAACGATTCTCGGTCTTGTCACAAAGTTTTTTCAAACTTGTTTAGTCGTTGAGAAAATGGAATTGACTCGAGAAAATTCAAGAGCGATGATTTATTATCACTTTCGAAGTGGTTTAACACAAAAACAGTGTGTTGACCGGATGATTTCTGCATTTGGTGATGAAGCCCCATCCAAAACCACAATTTATCGCTGGTTTGCTGAATTTCAACGTGGACGTGTCAAACTCAGTGATGATCCCCGTCAAGGTCGTCCAAAAACTGCAGTCACCCAAGAAAACGTTGATGCTGTGCGTAAGCTGATTGAGGAAGATCGACATGTGACATACCGCGAAATTCAAGCAACTTTAGAGATTGGCATAAGTCAAATACAAATAATCTTGCATGAACAATTAGGTGTAAAAAAGTTGTTTTCCCGATGAATACCGCATTCGCTCTGTGAAGAGCAAAAACGGCTCGCGTTACTTGGTGCGTCAGAACTCTCGAAAGATTCCACACAGGATCCTCAAATGCTGTATACAACATCGTATCAGGTGACGAATCCTGGATATACGCGTACGAACCCGAAACAAAAAACCAGTCACTAGTTTGGGTGTTCGAAAATGATTTGAAGCCAACATAAATTGTTCGTTCACGGAGTGTTGCAAAAAAAATGGTGGCCACGTTTGTCTCTAAAACCGGCCATGTTACGACTATTCCTCTTGAGAGACAAAGAACGGTTAATGCAGAATGGTATGCTAGCATTTGTTTGCCACAGGTCGTTTCTAAACTCCGTAAAGAGAACTGCAACCGCCGCATCATCCTCCATCACGACAATGCGAGTTCTCACACCGCACACAGAACAAAAGAGTTTTTAGGGCAAGAAAACATAGAATTATTAGACCATCCGCCGTACAGCCCCGACCTAAGCCCTAATGATTTCTATACTTCCCTAAAATAAAGAATAAATTGCGTGGACAGAGATTTTCATCACCTGAAGAAGCTGTGAACGCGTACAAAACGGCTATTTTGGAGACCCCAACTTCCAAATGGAATGGTTGCTTCAATGATTGGTTCCATCGTATGGAAAAATGTGTCAAATATCACGGAGAATACTTCGAAAAGCAATAAATACATTTTTAAATAGTAATGTTATGTCACTTCCTTGATTCCCGAAATTTTCAGTGCCCTCATATAATGGTGAATGTTGTGCGTGTTTTAAGTAATAATAATATGAATCACTCTTGGCATTATTCTCTGTTTGCTCGTCCAGTTTCATTACAATCGGAACAGCCATTCTGTAAATTAGCCGGGACAGATAGACCAAAAACATTACTATTTATGTATTCATGCTATGTAAATAACCCCCTCAGCTAAATAAAATACATTTATTTCGATATTACAGACATACGCTTCAATTTTATTTATAATAGATTAATCTATATGTTTGAGTAATTAATAAAAACATACAATTATTATTTGCAATTTTAATAAAATATGTTAGGTAACTGTTACTTGTTAATGACTTGCGCGTCGTGACTGTTAGATTGTATTTGACTTACCGACAAGAGTTGAAACGCGTATTGCGTAACTTATAAATTAGCAGTACTACCTAACCTGTGAAATTCTTAGGTATAAAAAAGCATTTCTTACTCCTAGGACTACATCTTTCCTAATTTTTAAAAAGTTACCATTACACTAGAAATTTTTAGTGTCTGTCCGTCCTCTCTGGCTAAACATCCAGATCTGAAATTTTATATAAATAGTTAAGATGCGGGAGCGGTGCTGAAGCTCTTTAAAAACACGTTGTACGTGGTAGAGCCATGCTGCAGCTATATTAGTAGTATAGTTGTAGCATGAATGGGTCGGTTCGACCGGGGAAGGAACACGCTCTCACAGAATACCAGCGTAAAATATCAGCTTAACAGCAGCGTTATGCAGTTAGCGTGTTTCGTATTGTGAGTGTCTCTACACCGGTTTTCTAACCGGAGACCCTTTTTACTGGAAATGAGGCATTCCATCTTAGTTCTCACGGTTGGCAACGCATCTGCATTTTGATTTGTAATCGAGGATAGATGTAGATGTCTTAGGGCTACAGCAACCACTTATCATCAGGTGGACTGTGTGCACGTTTGTCACCCTGACCCTAAAAAAAAAACAACTAACTAAATAACTATTACATTACAATAATGTATTAAAACGAATTCAGTAAAAATACTGACTTCCTTAAGTAAGTCATTACATTACTACGATGAGAACTATAATGAATCTTATTCTAAATGCAACGGCTTTTAAAGGATGGTCAAAACAAGTCTGTTGACTGAAAGTATGACGCCTTGGTTTGGCTAGCAATAACAACATTACACTTCATAACATGTTTACTGTAATCCAATACCAAAAGCTTTATCCGCACAATTCGTGGTCAACATGTTATTGTAAAATTATGGCTACTTGCAATCATCATGTTTACGAGTAATCTAATATCAAAGCTTAGTCAGGACAATTTGGGATCAACATGTTGTTATGATATTACGGGTACTTCGAAAATGCATAGCTTGTTCGATGCAGGAATCGAACTGGCGGCCCATAGAACTATAACCAAACACCTGGCCACTGCACCACCGTACCGTCAAACAAAAAACAATAATTCTTGACAAATATTGCACTTGCAAATAAATTGCTTTTATTGCGTCATTTTCCTGTAACTCCTGTATTTACGGAAAAGTAAATATTATGGTATAAAACTCAAGTATATTATGCAAATAATCGTTACATAATATATTTAATCGCTAACATTATTTATTTATTTATTTCTACTTTATTGTAAAACACCTTAATAAAAACGATCACAAAGGGCGGACTTAATGCCTTTTGGCATTTTCTCCCAGTTTTCTATTTTGAAAATAAAATCAATACTGAATAATGCTTTTTTTATCATAGTTGCTGAGCTACTGACAACTTCAGTAAACTAAAGACGTAAACGAAAACGTCAAACTTGTTTGTTACCTACTGGCTTAGTTTCAAACACTTGCAGGATAAGACAAGACTGAATTATTACTTCAGTGTAATTTAAAACTCCTGTATTTTCGATAAAGGCGTTTCAAATTTAAAAATTATTTTATATAATTAACGAGCAATCAGCCCTGGTTTCGCCTGGGTGGTATCTGTTAATGTCATTTATTTAATCATTAAGGTTTTTTAACCGTCTTCAAAAAAGGAGGAGGTACACTATCCTACTGTTTTTTTATGTGTGTTACCTCCGAACTTTTTTCTAGGTGAACCAATTTTGATGATTCTTTTTTTATTTGAAAGCTGGTGTTTTTCGTGTGGTTCCGTATAAATTTTATCAAGATCTGACCTTGTTTTCTGATCGGTTTTTGAGTTATCTTTAATAATGCATATTTAATTGACTCGACTACATTGACGATGTTCTCATTTTATTTATATTGATATCGGTTGTACAAAATTTTAAATTTTTAAGATAATCATCAACGACTCTAAAAATATCAACAACTGTAAGTTTTTCGGTTTAAATATAACCTAGATCACTCCTGACATTGCTATCTGTTCGTGAAGTTTCATCACAATCGGTTCAGTCATCAGTTCAGATCATACAGAAAGACAGACAAACTGGCAGATATTTTTAAATGCTTATTCATTTCTTACTTCCATCTAAATAAGTCTCTGAGCTCAATAAAAGGTAGTTACGAGTATTTGGATATTACAGATGAACAATTTATGATAGACCCACGCTGCAGCCATACCAGAATGCCGGCGTAAAATAGCAGCTAAATTATGTAGTGTTTCGTAAGGTGCTTTAGTAACTGAACACCCTTTTTACTGGAAACGAGGCACTCCGTCTTAGTCCTCAGGGGTGACAACGCATCTGCATTTTAATTCTTAATCGAGTATAGATGTATATCTCTATGGGCCACAGGATCTACTTACCATCAGGTGGGCCGTATACTCGTTTGTCACCCTTATATTATATAAGACCACTATCGAATAATTAAGATTGGCAGGGCCCAACCAGAAAGGGACAACCAAAGACATATTAAAAAAGATTACTTTTAAAAACATCTTAGGGGATTACTCACACAGTTTGCCAATCCTGCTGTTTTGTTTAATACCTACCATTTTAATAGTAAAATGGCATTTCATCTTAGTCATTATGGATAAAAAAGGATTTCTATTTTTATTTTTTAATAGAGGATGAATGTAAATGTCTGTGGATTACAAAGTCCACACGAACAACATCATTATGTTATATATTTTCTTAATAGGATAAGGATGACAAACGAGCACACAGTCTACCTGATGGTAAGTAGTTGCCGTAGCCCATAGATATCTACATATATTCTCAATTAAGGATTAAGATGGGCACCCTTGAGAATTAAGATGGAGTGCCTTGTTTCAAGTTAAAAGGGTATCCGGTTCTCTACACTCAACACACGAAACACAGCAGCATTAAGCTGCTATTTTACATTGGTATTCTGTGAGAGCTTGGTCCTACCTCGGTCGAGCTGGCAGATTCTTGCTACAACTATACCACTAATATAGCTGCAGCGAGGCTCTACCGCGTTGGAAACTCATTTCACCTATTTGTTATCATGACACCAGCATATATTTACTACTATAGGAGAGATTCGTATTTTGAAGTAGACTGTAAACAGATTGATAGGGGAGCTGAAGCTTCAAGTTTTTTTTTATTTTAAAACAGAAATAATCGGCCGGGTCCGCCATCCAATCGGTGGCGTGCTGTTTCGCCCCCCGCTCAGCGGATTGGCGGCACGACCGTCCGTGTTAGCCGTGTTGAACGCTTGCTGGAGCGAGCGCCCCGACCGTAGACCTGATCTCCGACTTGTGTGGCTGCGGCTTAAAGATATGCATGCTGGCATGTAAGTAAATATTTTATCAGTGACGTTGAAGTAATGTTACTACCTACATAAACGTTCGATTTCTGGGCACAGGTTCTCTTCATTTCTACCCGTTATCCATTTTATCATTTGATGTATCTTGCTTTATATGTACTGGGTATGGTGGTATATAATAAATGAGAAGCACGTCGAGAGTCTGCTCTTGCATATGTAATGCAAATAGGTGATGCGGGGTTAGAGTACAACCCGGAAGTTCAGCGCTATTTGAACCTATGTATGCCGAACCGTTACCTGACGAAAAGAAGGCGTTCGCCTTCAGCACGAACTAATCAAATGGCATGAATGCTTCTAGCGTGAGCCCTCTTCATGGTCAGTCTTGAGTATGATAAAATTGACTTATTTAGTTGCCACTTTCGTGAATTAGCAAAGGTCATGTTATTATATTGCTTGTTACCGATAGGGTTGCTGTTATTTTATGTTGTAATGAGTATTTTCAAAGAATTTTAGTGTTTTTTTTATAGCATAAGAGTGATAAACAAGCACAGAGTCCACCTGATGGTAAGTGGTTGCTGAGGCCCATATACATCTACATCTATCCTCGTTTGCGAATCAAAATGCAGATGCGTTGTCAGCCTAGAGGACTAAGATGGAATGCCTCTTTTCCATTAACAAGGGTCTCCGGTTTTCAACATTCACCATACGAAACACGGCAGTGCCAAGCTGCCATTTTACGCTGGTATTTTGTGAGATTGTGGTCCTTCCCCGGTCGAGCCGACCCATTCGTGCTACAACTATACTATAAATATAGCTGCAGCTTGGCTCTACCACGTAAAAAGCTTTTTTCGTTTTAACTGAGTTTTTCTATATTGGCTTTATATTGATTAACGTTGATATATTTTATTAAAACTTTAGTAACGTAAATATTAATATAATTATTATAAGATTTATCTTAAAATTCAATACTATTTATAGCCGTAATTCAGTTTAGTGACCATTATAATATGTAAATAATATGGAATAGGAAAACCAACACATTCGACAATATGCTGGCCATGATGGAGAAATACGCTTCGAATCTAGAAGCACTTGTCGAAGAGAAAACTAATAAACTAACAGAGGAGAAGCGAAAAACCGATGACCTGCTACATAGGATGCTACCAAGGTGAGAAAACCGCAATATAATTTAAAGAATATTTTTCTAACAATATATTGCTGTCGCGGTTACTTAGTTACACAACCGAGAGAGACAACTGCAGCTGGGACGTATTAAAACTATGAAAAATCTTTCCGTATTTCCCTGTTACCTCCTCCAAAACTGGAGAAACACTACACATTTAAATGAAACTTGTTTTTGTATACGCGATAAAATCCGTAAAATCTTGTTTCATTTAAATTATTTGCGCCTGCACAGAGCTATCAGGCCAATATAGAAAAAATATTTTTTTTCTTTTTAAACCCTCATATTGTTTGCCCTGGAATATGGGCGTCCATAACTTTTTTTTTTTATAGAATAGTGTGACAAACGAGCACACAGTCCACCTGATGGTAAGTGGTTACTGTGACCCATAGACTTCTACATCTATCCTCAATAAAGACTCAAGATGCAGATGCGTTGTCACCCGTGAGGACTAAGATGGAATGCTTTTGTGCCAGTAAAAAGGGTCTCCGGTTCTCTACACTCACCATACGAAACACAGCAGCGTTAAGCTGCTATTTTACGCTGGTTTTCTGTGAGAGCGTGGTCCTTCCCCTGTTGAGCCGACCAATTCGTGCTATAACTATATTACTAATATAGCTGCAGCATGGCTCTACCACTTGGTAAAAACTACAATAAATTTTTCCTTAACTACTTAGTGTAAGAAGTTATTATGGTGAAAATTTGGTAAATACAAAGCTTACATATTGTTTTACTGCTAAGCAGATGCCTCGTTTTTATAGAATGAGGGTGACTAACGACCACATCTGATGCTAAATGGATGCTCTACACATTTACATTGTAGTTATTTAGATATTACAGACACTTTAAATTAACGTTTTAGAGCCACGCTGCAGCTATACCATAATATACTAAAATAGCAGCTTTAATTTCTGTTGTGTTTCGTAAGGTGCTGTAGTAACTGAAGACCATTTTTATTGGAAACGAGGGATTCCATCTCTGTCCTCAGGGGTGACAACGCATCTGCTTTTTAAGTCTTAATCGAGGATAGGTGTCGATTTCTATGGGCTATAGAATCTACTTACCGTCAGGTGGTATGTATACTCGTTTGTGATCCATATTGTATAAAAAAACGAAATGCCCCTATCGAATAATTAAGATAGGGATGGCCTGACCACTCGCACAGTTTGCCAATCCTGCTGTTTTGTTTATTTTGTTTTATACTAATGTCGCTAGGCATGACAACGCATTTTTATTTTTTAATAGAGGGTAAAATGTCTACCTTACTATACTACAACGTCCACACCTACAATGTCATCTATCATCGGTTTAGAATCAAAATTCAGATGCATTGTCACCCCTGACGTCTAAGATCATCATTTACCCCGCAAATGGGGTCTCCAGTTCCCTTTCTTCACCGTGCGTGGTCCTTCACGTTGTTTCTCTTCACCGCCGAGCTTCATAATTCCTTCACCACCGAGCTTGACAATTTTATTGGTATCGACGAGAATCGAACCTGGGTTGCTCACGTAAAGTGCAATTCCCGAGGTGCAGTTAGCTCCTGAGCTATCATGGCTCTATTATCGTGTAATTGTACATATATGTTTTTTTTTTTATGTTTCAATTAAATATTAATTTTTTCTTTCAATTTTTCTAACTCAACTGTCCTTATCGATTTTCTCATACAGGACCATAGCAGAAGCTTTGAAACGTGGGGAACACATCCAGGCGGAGAGTTACGACAGTGTGACCGTTTTCTTCAGCGACATCGTTGACTTCTCGCATCTCGTCGCTACGAGCTGCCCAATGCAGGTACATTCCAACTCATTCATGTTGTTCTACTCTCCAGTATGTAATATTTTAGTAATCTATATTACGGTATCTATGCAGGTGGCTCAGTACGTGCTCTGTGGTATTCCTTGGGGGAGGCCTATGTTCAGCTGTGGACTTGTGCAGGGCTATGATGACGATGGGGGTGATGATGATGATGATGTTGCCCTACCTACGAATCTAACACGAATCGAGTTCCATCACTGCATCTCATCGTTAACAATTATCAATCTTACTCATAAAATTCGACGTCAAATTTAAGAAATGTTGAAACTTGCCCTGTCTATCTTTACTAAATGAATAGAAAGAAAGAGATATAGAGATAATTACACTTAAATTAAGTAACAAATATCTATTGGTAGTATCAAATTATCTATTGGTAGTAGCTGGTTTTCTAACACTACTGACTAGCAGCTATTGATCAACTAAAACTAGTTGATTTTAACACTTGTGTAACTGCGAATATCAGTTACCACCTTTTCCGTCTAGCTAACACTTTTCACTATATGTAACGGCGAATTTTCCGTTACCACTTTTTTCGGCTAGCTAACACTTTTTCACTATATTTAACTGCGAATTTTCAGTTACTACCTTTTTCGGCTAGCTAACACTATTTTACTATATGCAACTGCGAATTTTCAGTTGCCACTTTTCTCGGCTATGTGTAACTGCGATTTTCAGTTACGACCTTTTTCGGCTAGTTAAACTTTTTCTATTTCACTATAACTGTTCACTGTGTTCTGCTACTAGTCACTTCAGCTACTACAGGATACTACTGCTTGTTACTGGTAGTTCTTCCTACTACAACGTTACTGTGATTTGCCCCCATAAGGTAGAATTCTGCTATACTGTATAGAGAACCGCTTGCCATTTTCCGGTTTTGCCTCTTTATTTTTAAACATTTTCATTATGTAATTAGCACAAATCGCAATATTTTCTATACAATGCTAATTTTACACTAACACGCTATACACTATTAAATAGGCATTTTGGTCCTTTATCAGTATGTGATAAAGGTTACTCAATATATTTACATTTAAAAAAGTTATTAAACAAAATATACCAAATTTTCATAACAAATGTGTACATTAAATCTTTAATTTTTCTATATTTATCAAATGCGTCTATTTACACAAATTATTTCTTTACTATTGTAATCTATACACCATATGCTAACTAAATATCATATTTACAACTCTTTTAGAACACAAAAATATTCTTATTATTTTCATACAAACTATTGCGCAGTTAATTTAACTTCCAGAAAATTCCACGATATGATGCGCTGTGATTGGTCGAATTTTTATTAAATGCTTAAAGTTGTTTATATCAACTATTATTAAAACGACATTCTATACAAATATATTATGAGTTGTAAACACATTGTAAACCCATATTAATACACAATTCGCTCGATTTTGTTAGTAATTTCACTTTTTAAACAAATTAATATTCTTTCATCACTTTTTGCTTAGTCTTTAAACCGTCGCGAACAGTAAGCAATAATCAATGATTAACAAGAATAAATTAAATGTTGTACATACCTTTAATTGGGAATAACAGCTTAAGACGTTATAAAAGACAATAACATAAATAATTATTTATGTTATTATAAAATATTTTTTCTTTTCTGGCGCTCAAACGTTGAGGAGACTTCTTTCATGGTAGAATGTGTGTCGCGTAACTGCAGTTCAACGTTAAAGTGAAATTTATACTAAGAATTTATATTGTTCACTAAGCGGACCAAGAACAGGCGTTTTTCACATAAACTTGGAGAATTGCGAACTAGAAAATATGTTCATCCGTGTGCAATTTATATATGTAAAATGCCGCAATGATACGGGAGAAAATCTTAGTGTCTACTACACTAGTAGCAGTAAAATTAAAAAACAATGATATGAAAGAAAGAAATTTATCGCATCTTTACTTTTTAAACAAAGCCTTGTCTTTTTTGGAAGGAATTCGTTATCGGACGGCACGGTTTTGGCGGATGGAGGCTAGGCGACAAAAAAATTTTTACGTGGTAGAGCCATGCTGCAGCTATATTAGTAGTATAGTTGTAGGACGAATGCGTCGGCTCGACCGGGGAAAGACCACGCTCTCGCAGAATACCAGCGTAAAATAGCAGCTTATCGCTGCTGTGTTTCGTATGGTGAGTGTAAAGAACAGGAGACCCCTTTCACTGGAAATGAGGCATTCCATCTTAGTCCTCATGGGTGACAGCGCATCTGCATTGTGATTTGTAATAGAGGATAGTGTAGATGTCTATGGGCCGCAGCAACCACTTACCATCAGGTGGACTGTGTGCTCGTTTGTCACCCTTTTACTATAAAAAAAAAGATGGGCGAAAGATATGAAAGTGTAAGATTTTTCCGTCACGACCCCTTTTGACGCAGTGTAGACGGCTTTGGCGGCTATAAGAAAGCGAGATAGAATAATATCCATCTCCCTCGCACTTTTTCTTATCTTACCATGAATGAAATACTATTTTATTTTACGCTTCATTTTAATAGACGCTAGTAATTCATTTATTTGTATTTCTTATACAATAATATAATACGTTTATCTTTATATAATAATATACTACAAAAGGAACTTTGTTCCAACCGAGTGTTCCACGACACTGATACACGTTTTTTTTATTTTTAAAACAGTTAGTGTTTTTATTATCCACAAGCTTATGCACTTTTTCTAAAAGCTCCACTCAAATGCTATTCACATCCGAGCGAACACAGAACTTCTTAAAGCCGTTACTTGATTATTCTTTTGAAACAACACTAATTCGACATAAACTCAACATAATAAGCCCATATGCGTGCTATGAAATATTTTTTTCATTGCTTATCAAATTTAAACGTAACTACGCAGCAAAGGTATAGTATCTTAAATTCGTTAATGATTAATGTTATAAATACTACACAACCTATTATTTTGTAATAAATGTCTTAAAAAGTAGATATCTGACGTAGCATACAAACCAATTTTTTGCAGAGCCAATTTTTTGTTTTATAGAATAAGTGTAACAAACGAGCACACAGTCCACGTGATGGTAAGTGGACGCTGTGATCCATAGACATCTACATTAATACTCAATTGAGAATCAAAATGCTGATGCGTTGCCATCCTTGAAGACTAAAGTGGAATGCCTCGTTTCTAATAAAAAGGGTATCCGGTTCTACACTCCATTCATGCTACAACCATAACATAGCTACAGCGTGGCTCTACCACGTATTCCATCAAATTGTTTATTTGTAAATAATAATTTACTTGTTTTTACTAAAATCACTATCTACAAAGCTGTCCGCTATTTTTATTCACTATGACTATTTCATCATTACCACCATCATTGCAGCCCTTCATTAGACATATATACAATATAGGCTTCACGCAAGTAATGTCACAAAGTATGATCATGAGCCTCCTGCATGCATCGACTTAGTTTATGTCTTACAATTGGCATTAATTACATTGATGTGACCCCACAATTGAAATTTAATTTGTCTGAGTAAGTCGTTTTACATGAACAATTAACACACAAACATCCAAACCGTGAGCAATTATTTGTAGATAATACTAATTCTTTTTTCGTACAGAATTCGAACACGCGGTCCACAGCCAAACACGAACGCAATGTACTACCGATTTGTAATGTCTTAAGCATCAATTTCCATTTCAAAATTTCCATAAGTGATATATATGACAAATATTACAGGATATTCTGAAAATGTTTAGTCAACTGAGTCCATAATCAGTTCTGTATGCGTGGGTGGATCACAAAACAAACATTCCGCGGTCGATAACATGCAAATGTTTGGTCCAACCTCGAGCGATGGATTTTATTGCTGCCTATAAAGGCTCTATTTATCATCATATGTGAGGAAGGACAAACTCTATACATTATACGAGCAATATAAATATATTTGTTTGTAATCGCGTTCTCGAAAATAACTCAAACGATTTGGATGAAATAAACAAGATTCACGTGGGCGAAAAATCGATCTAGATAAGTCTATAAATTATTTAATTTATTAAATTCGTTGTCTTTCGTAAGAAGAAAGAACTGTGCAAGAAATAAAATAAATAAGTATTTTATCAATTCAACATCATTAACCTTGTAGTGGCGGTATAAGAATATTCACTACCCCATATCACCCCGTGGGTGTCGTAAGAGGCGACAGAGGGTAACAAATCAGGAGATAGGCAGCAGCGTCTTCTTAATAAAGACTAAAAGATAAAAAAAATCTGACTGAAAAGCCAGGCGTGGCAACTATGACAAAATCCCATCTATGAGTGACTGTTTATAGCCTGTAACGGTCATTCAGTGAAAGCGTTGTCCTTCACGGGACGAGCGACTTTATGCTGTAGTCATGATATTATATTATATACTAGCTGTTCACCGCGACTACGCCCTCGGAAACCTAATTCTTTTTCAAAAATTAAAGTAGCCTAAGTTACTCCTTGTGACATCAGCTATCAGCCAGTGAAAATCCCGTCAAAATCGGTCCAGCTGTTTCGGAGATTAGCCGGAACAAACAGACAGATGTACAGAGAGATAAAAACTTTAAAAATTGTATTTTTGTTATTAGTACCGTATACACTTTCATATGTATTTAGTAAAATGCTGTAATTTTGACATTACAAACAGACACTTCAATTTTATTTATTTGTATAGATATGAGTAGCTGCAGCGTGGCTTCATCACTTGGAAAACTTACTTTGATAATTTTACCATAATTTTTGTTTTTTCCTTTAGATTGTGGACGTGTTGCACGACCTGTACACATGTTGCGATGCTATTATTTCATACTACAACGTTTACAAGGTAAGAGAATAAATATAATATAGGTATACATACGTAATATTACAAATGTTTTATCTTAGTTTTAATAAATATTTTATAAAATATACGATACCATAGTTTAAATTTTTTTTATTCATAAAACATTTTTATATTACAGTCTTGTGTAAAATGAATTCATTCGTGCCCAAAACATAACAGAACCCCCACCATAATGGGTGATTTCTTCAAAACATGCCTCTGCAAAGCGTTCCCCCAGTTGTTGGTTGCTAGTTTGTCACCCTTATTCTATAAAAAAAGTAACTCCCTCGCTCTATCTCTCTGATATATCCCTCTTTATCTATGTAAATCGAAATGTGTGGTACTTACTTGAAGAATTCCAATCTCCTGCCTTCGATGTTTTCGCTGACCACATTCCCAGGACCACCAGCTCTTACTGTCGCTTGAACAATGAAGACACCACTCACTATCACCATTGTCAGAGTTTGGATGACGTCGGCTCTGAAAATTGGAAAATTATTTATTGGAAGAGCTTTGCTGCAGATATATTATGGTTGTAGCTCGAATGGGTCGGCTTGACCGGATTAGGAACACGCTCTCACATAATACCAGCGTAAAATATCTTCTTAGCACTCGCCCACATCGGTCTTTACCGTACAAAGACATCCTGGCTTCATCGACGAACAATACCCCATCACAGTCTTCTTGATTCCATGACACACAATATTGAGCGAAGCTAAGCCTGATAACTCGGTGCTCATGGAGTAATTTATGGCCGCGGGCTAAATGATCACTCCGTATATTGGTAGTGAGAAGCCCCCTGCTGACCATCCATATTAATTTGCACATTTCTTACATCTTTGAGGTTGTTCTTGAGGTCCACATACAAAAATTTACGATTTCTCAACGCTTGACTCACCGGAAAACGATCATCCCGTGTTTCGTTACATGGCTTTCTTCCAGAACCAGGCCTCCTCTTGAAGAAAGTAGTCTCTCAATAGCGCTGCCAGGTCCTTTGTACTGTAGAACGACTCACGTTTAGCTTCTGAGCCACGAAGCATTGGCTGCAACATTCCTCAATCAGAGCAATAATTTTACTTGCTTTTATCATTTTATATATCATTTCCGAGACATCTACACATCAAAGACAATATTTCAAAATTTTAAAGAAATTAGATGATTCAATAAAAATGAATAAAAAGTTATATAGAGTCGATGTTAACTTTCGGGAGTTCGCGCCATAAAATGGAGTAAAAAGTTGTTTTCTTTAAAAATCAGGCTCAGGCATCGCACTTTGAGTTGGCTATAGACGTCTGGTACTTGATTTTATGTTTTCAACTTGAACCTTTAACACTGTTTTTGGATTTTGAAAATGGCTTTTGAATTAATTACGATAAAAATAAATTTCATTACTCATAAACTATACTTATACCTAGTATTAAAAACATCGTGTTGAAACATTTAGTCAAATGGTACATGTTTTAAATTGTCATTATTTCTTCATACGTAAATTAAATATATTATGTAAATATCTACTACTAATAGATGATCACCCTGATGTTAAAATATTTTCGTTAGCTAGTGTATTTTAAATAAACAAGAACATAAGTTGGTTTTTTGTACCAATTTTAACCAACATTTAATGTGCTCTTTATGCCGTAATCAGTTCAGAAAATAAAATGTTTTTAACTTATTATAGGCCAGTGCTTGACTAAAATACCACCTGAAGATAAGGAGCAAGGTCGTAGGTGGTGGTTTAATCGCAATGTCTTAGCGAAATAACTGTCAAAAAATGTAAACTCCATCAAAAAACTTAATTAAATAATCCTATAAGTTAGATTTCGTCTTAATGATTTCTTATATTTACGCGAAGACCACACATTAAATTAAACTTATTTTTACGGATTTTATCGCGTTTAATTTAACTTTTTAGTTCCCGACGTTTCGGGTGCTTTAATTTTTTTTAATTTTTTTTTCTAGTTTAATTTTTTTGAATATTAATTTTAGGTCCGATCTACGCAGATATATAGATTTCTTATTTGACTAAAAAAGTACAATGTAAGATCGTGTAAACCCTTAGAGTAAGACCCTTAGACAATTAGTGATAAATAGTATATAATAGGCAATTAGTGGTAAGTTTTTCGTGCACTATGCCTTGGAGCGCACTGTGAGACCTCATAGAAATGTTTCTGAATAGGATTGACAGTATAAAAGTGTTTTAAATAAAGAATTGAAGTTTAAGTAATTTTCCAAACGACAGCTGTGATAGCTAAGAGGCTAAAGCAATTTATATTTTCTGTCGACTTCAAAAAGGAGACGGTACTCTATTCGATTCAATTAGTGATAAATAGTATATAATAGGCAATTAGTGGTAAGTTTTTCGTGCACTGTGCGTTGGAGCGCACTGTGAGACCTCATAGAAATGTTTCTGAATAGGATTGACAGTATAAAAGTGTTTTAAATAAAGAATTGAAGTTTAAGTAATTTTCCAAACGACAGCTGTGATAGCTAAGAGGCTAAAGCAATTTATATTTTCTGTCGACTTCAAAAAGGAGACGGTACTCAATTCGACTGTATGTTTTTTTATGTGTGTTACCTGTGATCCCACATGAATTTGACCAAGCTCAGACCAATAGTTTTTGAGTTATTTTCAATAACTTATATTGAAGTCGGCTGTACAAAATTTTTAATTTTAAATTATAATCTATTGCCAAGGTGACCAGCAAAAAGATCGATAAAGATGAGTTTACTAGTGTTGAGAAGTGACGTCGGTCAAGACCCGATTTTAATAATTAATAAATAATAATCAATTGCATTAAGTGTGTATGTGTCTCGTGCTCAGTGAAGGAAACACCGTGAGAAAACCTGCATTGATGAACAACATATTTCAAAGATATGTAAAGTACTCTAACTCGCACTAGAGTTGCGTTGCTTTCTAATGGTTTAATAACTCTTAGAAATTGCAATCTGCTGTGGGACGAATATAGGTTGTAAATTTATATTTTCAAACAAGCATATTAATGCTTGCACGACAGCTGTTCATTCCGGATCGTATTTTTTTGCGGATTGTTTTTTTTTTTACAGGATAAGGGGACAAACGAGCACACAGTCCACCTGATGGTAAGTGGTTGCTGCGGCACATAGACATCTACATCTATCCTCTATTACAAATCAAAATGCAGATGTGTTGTCATCCGTGAGGACTAAGATGGAATGCCTCATTTCCAGTAAAAAGGGTGTCCGGTTGTCTACACCCACCATACGAACGAAACACAGCAGCGTTAAGCTGCTATATAACATACATCTACATATATCTTAAAATTATATACATACATCTTAAAACATGGCATTCCTATAGGTGGAGCCTGTACGTGACGCGTACATGGTGGTGGGCGGACTTCCGGAGCGTTGTTCCAAACACGCGGCGGAAGTGGCCTCAATGGCCCTGCATTTGCTAGATGTTGTACCACAAATCCGCATCCGGCATAATCCAGTTGCCAGACTAAATATTAAAATTGGTAAATATTATTTTGAAGCATTTTGAATCTACTTTGGAAATGAATTCATTATGCATAATGATGGGCATGTGGGGAATCGATAATTTAATAAAGCATCGCAAGTGTGAATTAACGCTTTTTCCTAAAGAATGATTCACATATTTTCCTTATTTATCAGGCACAGATATATGTGTACATATATATGCACATAATAATATCTTCATCATATATATATATATATATATATATGTGATGAATATATATATATATATTCGAACTTCGTTACCTTTTTTTCTCATTATTAGTTTACTTTTGCTGCACTATCTCCCATGTGGTTATCTCTGCTTAGCCTAATGGTTAACTGGGAGAGAATGCCTTAAGGCATTAAGTCCTTCATATGTACGATTTTTCTTTTGTGCATATAAGTTTAAGTAAATAAATAAAAAAATAATTGCAGGTAAATTAACACCGTATTTTGGGTAAACTACAAGAAGCATTTTCAGCAGTGGATCTATGGTGATCTTCAATGATGATAATGATAATTCTATTTGTATTAGATCTACAATATTTTTGTACACACAAATTAATCACCAGAATAACCCTCTACCACCACCCTCATAGGTTACTTCACAAAGGAGGCCTCCCCGACAGATTGCCTCATAAAGCGGATATTTACCATAGTTGCTACGTTTGGCGAGTAAGTTGGTAACCGCAGTTTATTTTTATCCAGCTGTTATTACGAAGATGCTGCTGCCCATCTCCTAGTTCAGTTTCCTTCTGTCGCCTTTTACGACACCTACAGGATGATGTGGGGTAGTGGATATTCTTACACCGCCGCTAAACGATTGAAAAATTACCCTCATTCTACAGGCATCCACAGCGGACAATGCGCCGCAGGTGTAGTCGGCATCAAAATGCCGCGCTATTGCATTTTCGGTGATACAGTCAACACAGCCGCCCGTATGCAATCCACAAGTGATCCGCAAAAGATACACGTCAGCCATGACACTTACGTCATGTTGCGAAAACATGGCGGCTTTCACTTCAAGGAACGGGGAATTGTCAATATAAAGGTAAGCAGACATTTTGCACATGTAAACAAAAAAATGTTATTCCACAGATAGTTTTAATCATGCATGATTGCCTAGTTGGTCATAAGACCAACCAACCCTAAGGTCGTCAACGCGACGGCGACCGCTGATACTGATATCCCAGGTTCGAATCCCTGGTCGGGGCAAAAAATCAGTTGTTAAGTTCTCTGTCAATGAATACTCAGTCTCCGAGTGAATCTGAGGCCATTATGATTAGCTCAGATGTATTCTCTATTCCGTCACTCTCATAGTCCTATAGAAATCAGGCGCAGGACCAACGGGTTTACGTGCTATCCAAGGCACGGTGGTGAAACACCGCTAACTTCCTTACACTGTACTGCTACTGAAAATATCTTGATAGAAAAAAAAACTGATTTTAGCTTGACCCGGGATTTGAACCTCCCATGATCAGCTATCGCATCTGCGACCCCAACGAGACCAACGAGGCAATCAACAAGAAGTAACAGTAGAAAGTAAGTCGAAGTTAAAAAATCCACACAAACAATATCTAGGAAAACAGCTTCGAACTTAAACTGACTCTTGTTACTTAATAGTATTAACGATTTTGCCTCACAGGAAATAGAAATAGTTTATTATAATCTAATATACGAGTAGAATAGTTAAACCTTTTCTAACGTTTCGTTATGCAATATTGCATGCCGTAAGCGCAACGCGCATAGGTATGTTCTACTAGCGCCTAAAAATCAAGATTCTAAAGTTTTGTCGCATGAAATCGTTTCTAGCAATCACATTATACATGTAAATGATTTAAAAAGCACATTGTCAGAGAGATGAATTATTGTTGAACTTGTTAATATTATTTTTTGAATCGATTGATTGCTATTTTTACATAAAAAGGGGTTTTAGTGGCTTATGGTGTGGATTTATCAAGTTCGCAAGGCTTGTACGCAACACGATAACTTTTGAGAAATCAATTGTTCAACTCAATATATTTTTTAAAACTCTTCATCTATCATGTGGGAAGCCATTGAATGTAAATGGCAGTTTAATTTTGTTTTGTTTAGTAATAATTAATTTTTTTCGGCTGCTAACTGTTGAATTTTTCGGTAGTAAATAGACTGCCTCACTCGGTTAGTTAGTACGGCTGTACGGCATCAACCGCCGTTGTGAGTGGATATTGTATTGGTTGTTTGCAGAGGCTTTAAAAGATCGCTGTACAAATAAATACTAAATATTCTAAAAACACATTTCTTACTATTTTATATTACTTGATTATTATAATAATCATGTACTAAAAGTAAGTAGAATGTAATATTTATACGTAAATACGTCTTGGATTTTATGGAGTGACATGAATGAAGAGAAAATTATCGGAAAATTGGAATTATAATAAGGTTATTAGTGTAAACTTGTGTGTATTTAAACTACTTTAAAAAAATTCCGTATAATCATGATATACGTAATTTTTTTAATACGATTAAGGCATGCTCAATTGGATTTACCAATAGTTTTTTTTTGTTTTATCTCGGAATTTTACGTTTAAGATTTAATCAGATAGCTTTTCGTGAGATATAACTACAATTAAAAATATACAACCATTACTCCACAATTAATCAACCAAATCGTTTTATTTATTACATAGTTATTAGACATTTATTTGGGGTATGAAAAATCTGTCCTTAGACGTAATAAGTATACGTGGTAGAGCCATGCTGCAGTTATATTATAGTTGAAGCAGGAATGGGTCGTCTCGACCGGTGAAGGACCACGCTCCACAGAATACCAGCGTAAAATAGCAGCTTAATACTGCTGTGTTTCGTACGTTGAGTGTAGAGATTCGGCAACCCTTTTTCTGGAAACGAGACATTACATCTTAGCCCTTAGGCATGATAACGCATCTGCATTTTGAATCTTAATAGAGGATAGATTTAGATGTGTATGGACCACAGCATCCACGTACCACTACGTGCTTTTTATTTTCTTGTTTTCTTTGTTGTTGTTACTTATTCTACAACAAGAACGTTGTCAAATTAAACTAATCTTAACGCGCAAGCGATTTTCCAAAATATTTATTAAATCCTTGTCGTATGATATTTTTAATAGTATTGGCAACGCCTTAAGCTTTATTTTTACTGTTAAATAGCAATTCCTGTACTACTGTGTTCCAATCGGAAGAGTATAGAGATGTAACTACAGGCTATGAGGCATTCCGTCTTTGTCCTCAGAGGTGACAACACATTTGTTGCCATCTTAGTTTGAAGTAGGCTGGATGTGTCTTTTGACTGTTGCACTTTCCATCAGGTGTTAAAAAACAGCAATACTAATTAATCGCGCTCACCCACTCCTACAAATGTGGTCATAAATATGACAGTAGGATAGTAGTTGCATAGTCAATTCAAAGTCACAATATCATTTAAATTTCATTTTAGGCTGTCGCTACGAGTTTATTTCTTATTTTAAATATTTAAGTTAACTTAATGAAAGAATGTACTCAACTTTAACAGGGCAGAGGAGAAATAAAGACATGGTGGTTAATTGGAGAGGACCACGAAAGAAGACGGGCGCCATTTTATCGCTTTCGTAAGTTCGGCATTAACTATTTAAATAAAGCCGCCATAACGCAAGGAATCGAATTAAATATTTTACCAATTTACACGGAAACCTTGACAAAATTCAAAAACCTTTAATTTAGAGAGTATTTCGATGAAAGAAGCAGGGAAAAGGGAATATGGTATAAAACAATCCCAAAAACTCTTCGGATACCGTAATATAATAATATTGAAATGAATAGAAACCATATAATCGCTATTCATAGGTTACGTTCTGGTCACTATTCCAATAAAATTTTTGTATTTTTGATGGAAAAAGCAGACTCGCCCAATTGCGATATTTGTCACATTATAGAAGATGTACAACATATGCTAGCAGAATGTATCAAATATCAAAGGGAAAGGGAGAATCTGGTGCATTAATATCAATTTGTGTGAAACGGTTTGGTTTTTGAGTATACTTGCGGAGCCACACTTAAAATCATTCATTTCCATATTCTTACCACATTGATTCCCCCTTTCTAAATAGCATTTGTGTAATAGGAACAAGTTAGGTTACGATAAGGCTCACATATCCTTGTAGGATAAAAGCCTTTTTAATTAAAGATAGATAATAAAAAAAAAACTACATAGATAAAGAAATCTATTACTTTTAGGTGTGGTTTCATAGGAGTCGTGATCTCCTCGCAAAAATTAAATATATTTTTGAATTAAAAGTTCTATATCGACGTAGTAGTGTTTAGTACGGAATTTATATAAAAAAGTCACGTTTTTAGTAAAGTTTCATCGCCCGTTCTGCATGAGTAATAAAACAAACGAAGAATGGTATGTCGTAAAGGAGTTTCAATTCGTACGTATGTATACTATAAGATGCACAACTTTTTGTAATATATAATTTTGTTAAACACTCAATTCTTAAATTGAGATGAAAGAATGACTTGACGAGCAAGTTAAGTCTTTGATCAGACTAGTACTTATAAGATGAAATATCGAATCGGCGTCTGATTATTATATAGTATAATTGGGTATTTCTTTACGTTTACATCTAGTTAGTGTCTTAATTAATCAAGTTTAATGTAATGAAATAAGTTTCAAACGGTTTAATTAGTTAAAGTGGAACCTTAATTAAACTTGTTCTATATTTCCGAAGCGAATTATAATTCCTTTACATTATATATTAGATTGTTACACTCCTGTATGTACCACGTTTTTGTTGACCCACTTTCCACTTTGCCAGTTCGGTGCAATCGTACTGAAACTAATTTCCTGATGAGCTAGAAATTTCACACTTTAAACATAGCTCAGAACTGGACGAAAATGCAATGAAATAAGAAAAATAAAAAATTTAACGGTAGGACTTCTTTATTTTGTCCAGAACCAGGTGTCAGCCGCAGTTCTGTAAGGGGAAGCTACGACGAAACTGGATGGAGTACCGAGCGCTCTATATTGAATATTAGAGACAGAGCTCGTCTGTCTTGTGGTGGCTCTTTAGGTCCTGGATCAGCGCTCTCTTCCCCTGGACCGCCGGCTTGCGCTTGCTTTGTTCCCCAAAGGGACCATCACTCGGCTCCAGCGGTGTCATTCTGCGAGGACTGACGCTAATACAGACAAAAATGGAGGAATACGTATGTTACCAAGGCGGAGATAAATGAATAGTTGTGCGTGAGTTACATAAAATAATGAACTTGGTCAATTCTTTAGCGAAAATTGGTAGTTTAGAAAAGTAATCATTTTATTTGTCAGTTGATAATAATTTTTACTGACAAATGGGAGGTAACATCTAAGCTAATAGTGCGAAGAACTATTAAAATGTTTATGTATTTAATTTCTATCGATATCGATAGCAGGTGGCTTATTTTTGATTGAGGGTAGCTCAAAACTACAACATAGCAAGTGTAATAATTGAAGTGCTGGATTACGCTTTATTTATATACGTATATAACTAATATTATAATACTCATTGCGTGCGTTATGTAGTCTTATGTTGAGTTGGCACGTATATTATAAGTGTTTAAAAATTCGTGTTAAATGATTGAAATTGTTACTATCAATGCTTCTGTGAGCTTAAAAATGGCGTCTGTAATTGTTGTTAGTTGGTAAGAAGGCGTGTAAATCAATATATACTTATATAATAATTAAAATTCAAAATTGGATCATAGCTTTAAATAGTATGGATGTGTTTTTTTTTGGAGTTTATGGCCTGGCATCTAGACCTTTAGGCCAATTATGTGTTTGTTTATACATACAATCCACAGGATAATGTCGTATTTTAGGATGACTGTGTGTAGAAACGACGCAAACTGAAATTCGTAGTTTGCATTGCGGCATTTTGAGCTGACCATTGATGATATATCAACATCGATTATAGTATTGTAAAACTTAATCAAGACCAGTTATACAAATTTAATAATATAAATTTTAATCTTATTTTTGTTTCGTATTTAAATCTAGTAATTCTTTTGTCCGTGTGTGTGACTGAACTTCTCCTAAACGGCTGAACAGATTTTGATGAAATTCTGTGTGTGGGATTAAGTTGATTCGAGAATGGTTTATCTAAATCTAATAATCTAATAATATCTAAAAATCACCCGTGTGAAGTCGGGGTGAATCGCTAGTAGTACTATATATAACGTAAGGAAACAAATTTTGTAATTAATGGATCGATAAATTCACAACGTCAACGTTTGCGTAAAATAATATTCTAGTCTAGACTCTAAACTTTAAGCTACTATAGCTCAATAGTCTAGACTCACATTTTAACATTGTTTAGTCTTAATTTATACTTCAGATTGTCTCTAAATACCGGCCTAAGACACGCTTCTCATCTATTATGTATGTCACGCGGCTAGGATTTCTAAAGTGAGTGTTTGAACAGATCTTTAGCTAATGGTTGTAACTTATAAGCTATTTTGTTCTTATTCTGTAATGAGGTTATCCACGAATATTCTGTCGCTCTAAGCGCCACTTAGAAATGAGGTGAAATATTATTTAATAGATTTCATGGCGGAGGGAAGTTAATCAGTTGAGAAAAAGAGTTATCGTTTCTTTCTGTTAATTAAATTAGAAATGGATAAATCAAACTACCGATATTCCAAAGTATAGAAAAATTTAAAGTTAAAAATTCCAAAAAAATTAAAGAGCAAACCACTGAAGCATTTGTTGTGTATTCACGTGCTCTCTTCTCAATTACAATGACACCGTGTAACAAAATAAATAACTTCACTACAGTCCCAACTAGCGACCTCTGGTGTCTAGAAGAATGGTCATCACTCATTGACACATGACGGTAGTGAAGTTAGGCCACAGTAGCCTATTTGTTAAGGGTGCGTACTACTCGGAAAGTCGTAGGTTCGAATCCGCTAATTGACCACTGTCGTGAACCACTGCTAATACAAATTATTTTATGACTTTCTGGAGCGGTTAACGGAAGTATTAGTAAAAGCTTTACTAGCATTATTTTTTTTTATAAATCTATTGATAGTTATTTATTAATTAGGAGTATTAAATAAGGACAATGGAAGAGTTCCCTTCAGTAAACGATGTATAACCCTTAACATCGCCTTTTATTATAATAAATACAATATTTATGAATTTTTTGTGGCAATTTTATATTAGATAATTAAGCTTAAAATAATAGGCAGTAATAGAATATTGTAAGTCAAGTCAATGTATTATGCTGGGAACATATTTAAAATGCTATAATAATAGGTTAATAAGTATTTACTTATAATATAAATGGAGGCTTCTCGACGTTTCGTCCCTAATACTCCTCTTCCTTAGTACACGATACACGCATAAGAATATTTTATAATTCTTAATATGTATTAAATAATCATTGAGTGCGGCTGTTGGTAACTTCTGAAAGACTTGGCCGATTGAAGTCATATTCACATAATCTTTATATATAAAATTATAATAATATATAATTAATTATATAAAAAATTACGTGTCACATTGTTTGTCCGCGATGAACTCCTAAACTACTGAACTGATTTCAATGAAATGTTTCACAATGTGTGTAGTCTGGTCCAACTTGAGAGATAGGATAGTTTTTATCCCGATAAGTGGTCCTCAATTTTTTTATTGTGAATTTAATGATTTTTTTAGGACACATGGTCGTCTATATATTTATATTTTCTTGATTATGGTTCATAGCTATATATTCTATAGGTGGCGATGTAGTCAAGCTATTACCAAATTCTATATTTTATAAACCAAAATGACTCGTATTTACAATATATTTTATAACAATGTAATTTTATATTTACACTCTAAAAAGTCGGGGAATTAATTCAGAGTAAAACTCATCTATAATTATAATAACACGCGGTGCAGAAGAGCAATAAATGACTTAAGATCACAAATAAAGAAAGTAAGTATGAAGAAGAACCTAATATTTTAACCAAGTTTCGTGTATGTCTGTTCGGGTCAAATATAGTGATTTATTTTAAACTAACTTCTCGATGAGCTAAACGCTTAAAGTTTTGAACATACGAGCTTGGACGGACGGATCGGACGACAATGTAAGAATATGAAAAGGAATGTGGTATATTAAAAAATATACCACGTATATTTAAAAAAATATACCATGTAATTGCTGAAATACGCCACAAACATTATATTATACTAAAAGAAAATTGGGCTATAATAAACAATATAATGTTAATAATAAATGTAATGTAATGTAAAATATAATGTAAACAAAATGCACGTTAGATTATCGGGCGAACAACTCGCCGAATAACGACCGAATTATTCGTGGACGTGTACGACGCGTTTACATCGTTTTCATTCGTCTGTATTCATTCAACGTAGATCTTTTGAACATGGATGACGTCCGTCTCGTTGCTACGACTTATTTAATATTTCTCGACTCACAAATATTTACTTTTATTAATATTTATTTAAAACCGATTTCTAAAATCCCATATCACGGGTTCTCCTTGATAAAGTTCTACAAATTTAATAGTGTATTCGTTAATCTAATCCCTCACAGTAGGTAAAAAAAAATAATACCACCTGCGAATAAGTTTACGGGTTAAGTGAACAATGACGAGTATGTAAACACCAATACGAATTCACATGAACATTCCTTTGACTCGTGCTAAAAACCTACATCGAGTGGTCGAGAAGCGAACACACCCGAACAAGGCGCTCTTGCCTATTCATCTAAATGTTCCATAACTGACAACTAAATAACAATTTGACAAAGAACGACTATTGAACAAACAATTTACTAAACCAGAAATATCATAACACTATTTTAAAAGTTTTCAAGTGGCCCTATACCAGTTATGGCTTTGGCTAGAGCCTACTAAAATCTAAGGATACCCTTCCAACCACAAAATCAATGGGAATATTATAATATTAAAATAATTTAAAATCGTTATTTCACGATTTCGATTTCAATGAAACATCTTCAAACAATGAATGTGACAGGATCAATATCCTATCCTGTTACTTAATAAAAACAGCTGTGGACTGGCGAACGTTACGAATGATAATGATAATGGTGGTGATGATTCATTCCTGAAGCTTCAAGAACAAAGATATACAATTTTGTTCACTGTTGTATAATTTAACTTAATTTTATAAATAGAACTGATTTTATCGAATTTAATTTTAATTTTTACAGCACTCAGTGTCAGTTGGTAAACTGAGGAGCCTGACGTATTCGCTATTGTTAACGAATGTTAACTTTATCTTTTAAAAATTATTTTTTAAATTTGCAGTATGTATACTGTTAAATGTGTTATGTTATAATCTATAGTGATTGTAGCTTTATTAAAAAAAAAACGAATGTATTTAAAAGATTGAAATTTAGGGTGCAGAAGTATTCAATACATAAGGGATACTTAAGTTTTGAAAAATAACGTCCAAATTAAACATAAATTGTTATATTTAGTAAATTATTTGTTTTCCGTATTTATAAGATTTAGGGCTGATTTTTCAATCGTACCACAGTAATTTTTAATTTGTTAATATTGTATTTTATCCTTTGAAAAATCGGCCCTTTGTGCTAAATGTATATCAAAGATGTTTTTTAAACTGTAAAACTCTTAATATTAAGCATAGATATTAATTAAAAAAATATAAGGAGAACATTTTATCGGTGTTGCAATCAATATTAAAAAATCTAAAATAAAAAAAAAAATTATATATTTACTCCAGCCATATCTTATTCGAAGGACTATTCCCCATATATGAAGCCGTTTTGGCAATTTTTTTTATATTCAATGTTATAGAATAAATGTTTAAGCAGAGTAAGTATTATATAAAATAGCATAGCATAATCTACTCAAATAAGAACATACCTGTACAAATAATAAGGGCACATGTGCCAAAAAAAAACTTAAAATACTTTCTAGTCAATTTTTAAAATTAACGTTGCATGTATGTTTACAAAATCTTAAATATTTATAAAAAGTAAATTATAGCCTGACAATGAAAATAAGAAACTTTGCAATTTTACAAAATATTTACAGAACGAACTAAAAAACCACACAGAGCATGTCAAATTCAAAAGTGACATTTCTGTGTTGTACTGTGTTTTACGCATAAAGTAAGAACATACGCGGTGATTTATTTAAGTTTAT